AAGTCCAGAGATCACACATGGCTACCCTATGATAAAATTGTGTACCTTGAGGCATTAAAGGAATACTTAGACATACTTGGAATCGATTCTATTGATGCACTAACTCTAAGAAAGGGAAAACTTGATACTGATGACCCTCAGGTTAGTATCAGTCTAGTAAAACATGAGGCAACCTTTCAAACACAATACTACAGTATGGACATACAGGTAGACATATGTAAAGGCTTTAAAAACTGCACATATAGTCACTTTACTGTACATATTATGTCTACTACTCAAGAATCTGTTGCTCATACATTTGTATCTGCTTTTCTACAAGGCACAAATATGCCTCATCCTCCTCTACAACTCTTAGTTGGCCCTCGAGCACAACCAATCATGCAGGATTGGGTTACTCACAACCACAGTACAAGTACTGACTATGTTTTTGATTGAGAGGAGCTCAAGGAGATTGCAGCTTTCTCCAGGGCTATCCACAACAATTCCCTCAACCCTACTATACAACTCCTGGAGCATTATCTTATTGTATTATGCTTGTATAACTTCCACATTCCTTCTCATGTGAGACTGAGCCTGCTACTACTGTTCCAAGACTGTATTCAACATGCTAAGATGATGCAAGTGTTCCAGGACTTTGTATACTGTAAGAACATAGCTTCAAACCAAGGTAAATACACATATATTCTGCATTATATTATTACAAGCACATATACCTTACTGTTTTACTTAGGTGTAAAGTGTAGAGCTGAGCAAATCAATAATAGAACCACTATATTCTACTCACACAACTGTAAACGTTCTCAGATCGATTTGCAATTGCCCTCAACATCCACCAATCTTACTTCAGTACTCAATATGAGTGCTCTGAGCTCATTCAACACTCAAGGCATTACTCTACTACTGAATCTGCTGCTTTCCACTCAATCTGACAGCCATTCTGACCAATCCACTGTGAGTTCCACCAGTTCTGCTGCAGAACATGTCCAAGCTGGACAGGAACACATCCAGTCTACTATGGGACTGATTGAAGACACATCCATGGCTGTAGAGAACGTCCTAGCACAGCAGTACTGAACTTCATAGTAAGTTACTAACGTTTTCTTTCATTTTTGTATTGTTATTTTGTTTATTCTAGTACTAACTCCCTTAGCATTTAGGACTAAATGCTGGAGGGCAAGTGTAACAATTGTACTACCTGCACATTTGCACAACATGTGTTGTAGGTGCTTGTGGGTGTTTTCCTTTTTGTTCACTAGACTACCCTGTATCCTACTACATGTGTATATACATATATAAAGGGTTTTCAAGCTAAGGGTTAGGGGATTCTTTCTCCTTCTCAGTGCTTGATTACTAGGTTATCCCAGTCAGTAGTTGAGTGTGCTGGTAAAGAGAGAATCTTTGCATAAGGCTAGTATACCTATCCTTACAGTATGCTCTCTCCTCCCTGCACAAAAAGAATGCACAAGAGGTGGGTAAATATTACTTTCCAGACCCCTAGCTCAAATTTGTGCATAGGGTCTGAGACAAATAAGTCAAAGAAATTGAATCTGTGCTTACAAAGCACAGAAAAAGCATTCTATAAAAATAAGATAAGTGAGTAATGAGGAGCATTGTCTGGATAGTAACAGTTCACTTACATTAACTAGTATGAGGAATCCGTCCTTAAGGAGATTTTTTATCCAGGTGGATTCTACAGGCTTCCCTAATTGAAAAATCCACTGTTGTGCCCTAGAAATCTTCTCTTACTATACTGTATCATTAATACGTTTGTGAGTTTGTCTTTGTTGATTGGCTCTGGTACCAAGCATATGGTTGAATTTGGTTAGCATAATATCTGTAGGGCTTGAGAATTTGCCTAAAACACACAAGCTAGTAATGAGCATCCTGTAGCAATGTTCAGTTATCCTTACATAAATTGAGGTGAAGATTGTAGTGTATGCAAACAAGAAGATAGCAAATAGATACAAGACATACTTCTCAGGGTAGTCTGCTGAGTAAAAAGCAAACCTTGGGAAGAGCCTGCATAATTTTCCATCCAAGCAGTTGAATAGAATACTAGAGCTGTATGCCTTGAGAATTTCAGGCTGTAAGAGGATATGGGACAAGACAGCTTGAAATAGTTTACACTTTAAGTGAGTGAGGAGTTCTGAAGATGCAGATTGTTCATAAACCTTATTATATGTATCTTGAACTAATGCTGGGAGCTTTATTAATGTAAATACTGTATGTTAGGACATGTATTACAAAGAACAGCAGAAATATAGAAGGAATGTACTCACCAAAGGAATATATGCTAGATGATGGCAAGCTGTCTACAAAGATTTACAATGCATGTACTTAGATTGGCCTCTAAAGTACATGTATATTGGCCAAAGTGATACAGAACCGAAATTTGCAAGATGCATTGAGTCTGAATAGAGAATAAGAGGAAGTACAAAGTTTTCAGCACTGTCTTGTGTTGGAAAGCTTTGTACTTCTTTGTAGGCTTCCAACCAATAATCTGAGCAATATAGTTCACTATAAATGTGTTCAGGAGGGGAGTCATGCTTAAGGAAGAGGAGAGATAATTAAGGGTCAGTAGAAAGTTTACTATACAGCTCTAATACCACACATACTGTTAGTCTCCAAAGCTCCCTGTAAGGCATATAATGAAAAGGAGGAGAATGAGGGTTGTCCAAGGCTTTGAAGATTGTTGTTAGTAAGGGCTGGTAGTGTATTCCCCTGACTTTGAATTCAGGAGCTCTTTCTTCACCCTCAGGCCACTTCTTGTTGTCTTCAGGAGGTAGCTTGATCTTAACCAATCCTTTACACCAGTCATTAGAATGGGAAGACTTGGGGGAATCATTATTGTAGTGTGGACTGTTAATGTGTGAATTCTCCCACCTTGCTCTGTAGTCTACTAAGTCTAATAGCTTGAAGTCTGGATGAAGCAAGACTTTGTGCACAAGAACATCCAGCTTATTATTTGTCTTTTCTTTCACTTTGCAATTTGCCCAGCTTGTTAAAAGGTAAGTTGCTACATTATTGAACAGTACATATTTATTAGTGATAAGTTTGGGGAGTGAGGACGTTTGAGTCAGAGCATCACCTACAGAAAGTCCAGGTAAGTTGCATAAGTCCTCAAGGTTGAGTGTCTTGTTAGGGAAGTCATCTGGCAAATCCAGGTACTCTTGAAGCAACTTGTATTTGTTTGGCTCAGACAAAAAAAGCCTCCTTCTTGTTCCTTGTATGATTTCTAGAGTTGCTTGAGTCAGAGAGGGGACTTAAGGCAGTAGAGAAGGAAGCCAAAATAGTATGAACTCAAGAAGGTGTGGAAGAGATACAGTAGGAAGTACAGACAAGTTTGAAGTAGATGGTAGGAGATCTGTAAATTGCTTTAGTAGTCATTTCTTGCATTTAGTTCCTTCAGGAAACTCAAGAGGCTTGTCAAATAAGGCTAGAACAGTCTGAGTATCATCCTCCACTTTGAATGCCTGGGTCTCAGCTACACAAAATGGTGAGCATTGCCTAAGAATCAAGATACTATCATACATACCTAACCTCATTCTCTTTTTCACTTTGTTATTTGACTCTCTAATGTGTTTTAGAGAGTTCAGACTACTACTTGTATCAACACAATAATTGTAATGGATTTCTTATACATTCTTCTTCTTAAAGACCTCACTACAAGCCTCACAAACAAAGGAAGGCATCTTAAAGAGTTAGAGAAGCACAGTCTAGTCTGACATATACCTTTGAATGTCTACTTTGCTGGTATCTGATGTGCAGAGGTTCACAACAAGATAGATCAATATTGGTGATCTTTACTGACTAGGACTAAGATTTAGATACAGTAATATGTGCTACTACTGTTAGTACTCTCTCACAGTAGTGTAATTTACAGATATACTTACTGTGACAGTATATGTGCCTATGTAGCAAACTGTAGAAGAATATTGAAGCTCATATCAGCCCTTCTCAATTTACTTCCCTTACTACCTTGTGCACAGGTTGTGGTACAAGTCTAAGACTGTGCCAGCCTGAGAGTACTCTAGAAAGTAGTAAGAATTAAGAAAGAAGACTTGCACAAGCTGTGCAAATCATAGTAATCACTATTTGTAACACTACTAGACATTGTTTATTACTTTGTATAGTTCATCTCTGCCTTTTTAATAATTTGTATTTGCTTTAAGTGAGTAATCATTATTTTCCACTCTCAGCACAAGTCTGAGAAGTGGGTCAGACCTCTTCCTAAGACTTGCACAGACATATACTCTATATAGTAAGTATTAAGGTACACTACAGTCCTACAACAATAGTACTGTCCTCTATACTAAAGTACAAGTATCTTAGTACAAGTAAATTGAGAAGTGCTACTAGACTAGAAGGAAAATGGCAAGCATTTTCTTGATTACTAAGTAGTATCAGATCCACCCATATGTCAACTTTAATAGTAAGTAGGTTCTACATTCAAGCTGTACAAAGTCCATTATTATAGCTACAGCCTACTGTATGTTATAAAAGATGTCTTCAATTCTGTACATAAAGCTAACTTGAAGTTCCCTAGTAGCTTAGCCAATATTTGACCCCTAGCTCAGATACAGACTAATATTAATAATTTCAAGCTAGTCAATTTATGTTACAATCCTCTACTCTCTTACCTTCAGTTCCAAGGGTTCTGCACCCTTCTGTACCAGAACTTAGGACTTTTGTCCCTCAGAGGCACTGTCTATAGACTATATACATACTGACTCTTACTACTACCCTTCCTTACTTCATCATTCCATTCCTTTGACCATTCCTTCATTCTCTGTTCATTCTATAGTCTCTTACCCTTTGTCCATCCCTTCATTCTTTGTACCTTTATCTTTGACATTCCTTTCTTTCATTCTTCATAGCTTATCATTCTTAGTGGCTCATACTCTCTGAGTACTCTTGTATAGTTTAGTATATATAGGCATACAAGATCAGACTGGTCCTGTAGTCTTGATCTTGTCTACTCTAGGTAGTCCTGTACTCTTAGGCTCACTCTATATACTCTACTCTTGTCTCACTCTCTCTCTCTGCCTGTTCTACAAGTTCTGACTATATTCTAGTACTTACATTCTGTATTTCTGTTGTGTAAGATAGTTGTAGCCTGGGTCCCCTTACTGAGCCTTCAGGTCCCCTCTACACTGTTGCTGACATCAGATCAAGACTACCTATTACCACCCTACAACTCTCCTATGTTTCAGGCATTAGTACTTGCTATTGTATTGATCTCTTTCCTTTGTCCTAACCCTTTTACATTTTTAAATTTTAAACTTTCTAAACCCTTTTAAACTTTTGCCACCCTTCTTCTATTCATTACCCCTTTTAGTTTAGTGCCAATTCCTTTGTAGTGTAAACATGGACCCTCCTATACTGACTGCCACCCCTACTGTCCTGCCAGATCAGCAGTTACAAGCAGAACTAGCTTAATATGTGTAGACCTCTATCTAAGAGGCCTTTACTAACCACATACTCTCAGCCTCTTCAGAACCTGTTCTAATTGTTCTAGAAGTTGTAACCTGTTCTAGAAAGAAAGTACATGTAGCCTACCCTTCAGACTTTAATAGGCAGCACTTTAAGGACTTCCAGTACTAAGTCAAACTATACATAGCTACTACTTCAACCAATCTATTCTCAGATCTCAATTGTGTCCTATTTGTCCTCTCCTTCATGAAGGAAGACAATACAGCCACCTGGGCCCAGAACTGGATCAAAGGTCATTAGATCAGAAGCCTGATCCAACTTTAGAACAACAAGTTGTACTTGGAATTTATAGGGCAGCTCTGTACTTTCTTCATTAATTCAAATAAAAAGTATAATGTGTAGAACAAGCTTGTGTCTCTGTGACAGAGCAAACATTCCACCAATACCTTCTTTCAGGAGTTCAATATCTTGGCCTGGAAGGTAGAATTCATACTTGGGTTCAATAATGTCCTTATTAGAATGCTTGAAAAAGCTCTTCACCCAGAACTGGTTGATAAGATTCTCAGAATGATGCTAGAACTAGTCACCTACACTGAGTAGAAGACACACACTATCTCCTTCAACCAAGCTACAGCTTGGATACATTAAGTCTGTACAGAACACCTACACATGTGTCTGGCTCTGACAGTTCCAAGCCCTCAGATTGATCTGCCCATAATTTGCAATCAATCTGTTCTAATAAACATTAGAGAAGCCTAAAAGTAAGGAGTATACTTTACCTGTAGAAAGTCAGGGCACCAAATTAAGGACTGCCTACAGAAGCAACAGTACATCTGTCAGGTTATTAGAGTAATAATGAGTGACAAGTAGGATTTGTAGTAAGAAGCCTTTTCTGTAAATCTAGAAGTCACCTCAGAACTCTCAGACTCTAACTATGTACTCTAGGATTTTGTAGAGGCTCAACAGTGAATGTGGTACTGAAGGGCTATGACTCAGATTTTTTAATAGCCACTTTTAATTCAATAGACACTGTAGGATTAGAAGTAAATAAAGTAAGAAAAGTAGAAAAAGTAGAAAAAGTAGAAAAAGCAGAAAAAGTAGAAAAAGTAGAAAAAATAAATTAACAAAATTATTTATTAGAAAGAAAAAAGTCAGAAACAAAAGTAGATAGTTCTCCTATTTCTTCTGATTCTTTTAATTCTTCTCTTCACACTTTATCTGAGTCTAAATCTGTACAATCCAACCTACTACTTCTACATTCTGAGATCTCAGAATGTTTGAAACACTACCTAGCCCTGTTCACTACTCAGTAGTTTGTCTGTAGTATTAAGTAGGAATAGTCTCAGCTGAGTTTACAGCTGAGAACATAGGTCTGTCCTTGTTGAAAGAGAGAGGTTAATAAGGAAATGTTAGTACATATACTTACTCTCTTAGACAACAAGACTGTACAAGCTGTATGTTCCCTTCAGAACAAGTAGCAGTTCATCTAAGGACATTCTGAGTACTAGCTCTAGGTCCCTATCCTCTTGGCTCCCTTCTTAGAATCCCCCCAGATCCAAACAACAGCTCTGGTAGATAGTAGATACACTAGTTCATACATTAATAAGGCCTTTGTGTAGGAACACTACCTCCCTACTTAATGTGTTCCACTTTCAATCCTAGTATACAATACAGACAGAACCCTAAACCAGAATAGTCAGATTACTGAGTTTGTCCAACTATGGATGACCATTCAGAATCATGAGGAAAGTATTGAGTTTAGAGTCACTAACCTTAGAAAGACAGACATCTTTATTAGATTCAAATGGCTCAAGGCTCACAACCCTACTATTGACTAGTTAGAGTAGACACTTGTGTTTAATTAGTGTTCTGAGTCTTACAGCTACCTTGTACTACTGTTCTAAGTGGATGTGAATGCTTCCAATGTTACTAACAGTTCTGATGAAGGTGACTAGTTGTTCTTCTTTGACTAGGATAAATATGTGGATACATATTCTAGTCA